CTAGTCTGCTCTGATGACACCAACATGGTACAAATTTTTGTGATAAACTATACAACATATGCAGGATACGTTTAGTTACAGCGGTGTTTTTCCATCCATTGGGAAAGTGTCTGGTACCGGTTCAATTAGGAAAAAATAACATCGAAGAAGATCAATGAGAATTTTGTCTCATTTAATGTAATAAAAACATATTTTGTGCTTATTCAAACTTAATTACCTATAACTACGTGTTTTAAAGAAAAAGCGGGAAGTATTTATTAACTTTTTATCAATGTCCCATACTTTCACATTTTCATGCTTTAAATTAGTCAAAATGTATGACACTACGCTGTTAACATCACAAGTCCTGCCAAATTATGGCTTTCTCTACTTTTAATTTAAGCAGAAGTAAAACAATTATTCAACTTGTACGATATGTTTAATTTATAAAGAAATACAATGTCGGTGTAGTCTGTTGCTTCACAGTTGAATTGGGAAACATTTAAGGTTTTTGGCATTGGCAATGGTGCTGTTTATCGGTACCAGATATAAAAGGTAAAAAAAGCTAATTTACATGTAATCTTCTTTCAAGACACCAGCATTACTTCCATTTTAGCTATGACCTATACTAAACATGTTTTGAAGACTTGTGAAGAGTTTTTGACTTTCTCTTTGAAAAATCTTGACAAAAAATTAAGAAAAACTTAAGTTAACATTAAACTCTGATTAAAACCATTGCACACAATACACACGATTTTACGGTACACGTTTCCTCTTCATTTACCTGTTTAAAGTAGGTCATCCATGGTGGGTGAACTTCCTTGACGAGGTCATATGGGGTCACGAGGAATAGGAGGTGAAGATAGCTGGCCAGAACCAGGGACTCCTCAGCCTTCTTCAGGTCTTTATATAACTGAGCAGAAAAGTCCAGATCAACTGAACCTATGAAACAGAAAAGTCCAGATCAGCCTGAAATACAGAAAAGTCCAGATCAACTGAACCTGTAAAACAGAAAAGTCCAGATCAACTGATCCTTTAAAAACAGTAAAGTCAAGATCAGCTGATCCTATGAAATAGAAAAGTCCAGATCAACTGAACCTACATGTATAAAACAGAAAAGTCCAGATGAGGCTGAAATACAGAAAAGTCTAGATCAACTGATCCTTTAAAAACAGTAAAGTCCAGATCAACTGAACCCGTAAAATATTTAGATATCAGATAAACTGATCCTGTAAATACAGACAAGAGGCCCAAGGGCCTTGAATCGCTCTTCTGATAAATTATACAACCTATCACTTGTATTTGAAGCCTCTAACCCTAGGTATCCTGAGACCAAAGTTGCACCACCTGACAAAGTTTGATGATTCTTAGCCAATAAGGACTACTTCTTGGTCTACATTCTTGGAAAACCCCAAATTCATCAACTAACACAGTTTGATTATTCTAAGCCAATAAATACCTAAGATACTTAAATATAGCAATAAAAAGTTGAAAGTAGGTCACTGTAACCTACTTTTTGGTCGACATTCTCCGAAAACCCAAGATGCATCAAATGAAAAAGTTTGATGATTCTAAGCCAATAAGTACCAGAGATACTTAAATATAGCCATAAAATGTTGAAAGTAGGTCACCATGACCTACATTTTAGTCTTCATTTTTCAGAGTCCAAAGATGCATCTGCTGACTAAGTTTTATGATTCTAAGCCAATAAATACCTTAGATACTTAAATATAGACATAAAATGTCGAAAGTAGGTCACTGTGACCTAATTTTTGGTTGTCACTCTCTGAAAACCCAAGATGCATCAACTGACAGAGTTTGATGATTCTAAGCCAATAAATACCAAAGATACTTAATATAGCCATAAAATGTCAAAAGTAGGTCACTGAGACGTAATTTTTGGTCATCACTCTCCGAAAACCTGAGATGCATCAACTGACAAAGTTTGATGATTCTAAGCCAATTTGTAAAGGAAATACTTAAATATAGCCATAAAATGTTGAAAGTAGGTCACCATGACCTAATTTTTGGTCGTCACTCACTGAAACCCCAAGATGCATCAACTCACAAAATTTGATGATTCTAAGCCAATAAATACCCAAGATACTTAAATATAGCCATAAAATGTTGAAATTAGGTCACCGTGACCTAATTTTTGGTCGTCACTCTCCAAAAACCCAAGATGCATCAACTGACAAAGTTTGATGATTCTAAGCCAATAAGTACTGGAGATACTTAAATATAGCCATAAAATATCAAAAGTAGGTCACCGTGACCTAATTTTTGGTCGTCACTCTCGAAAACCCAAGATGCATCAACTCACAAAGTTTGATGATTCTAAGCCAATAAATACCTAAAATACTTAAATATAGCCATAAAATGTCGAAAGTAGGTCACCGTGACCTACATTTTGGTCGACATTTTTCAGAGTCCCAAGATGCATCTCCTGACCAAGTTTGATGATTGTAGGTCTGAAGGTAATCAAAAAATGCCTTTTAAACAATTTGAAAACATATGCCTGCAAAATTCTAAAAGTAGGTCACAGTGACCTACTTTTTCTTAAATAAGTTTTAAGTTCCCAAGATGCAGCAACTTACAAGATTTGATGATTCTAACCCTTTCAATGCCTGAAATAATGGGATTTAATGTTTTAAAAAGGTTAAGTCATAAAGTTCAAAAAGTAGGTCACGGTGACCTACTTTTAGGTTGACGTTCAAGGACCAAAGATGCATCAACTGACTAAGTTTCATTATCATAGGCCTTAAAGTGTCCAAAATATGCCTTCAAATCAATTTGAAGACAAATTCCCGTAAAATTTAAAAAGTAGGTCACCATGACCTACTTTTGAGTTAACATGATGTGAAGCCCTAAGATGCATCAACTTACAAGATTTGATGATCCTATCCCGTATAGTAAGCAAAATATAAACATTTTTATTAATTGTAAATTTAGGTCAACTTCAAAGTGACCTTGAGGCCACGCCCTTTGCCCCAGGGTCATGCCTTGAACAATTTTTAATCTTCAATATATCCTGATCGTTGTATGCAAGTTTGGTGAAAATCTGCCCGGCGGTTCTGGAAAAGAAGATTTTTTAGCAACTAGTACTTTTGGTTTTGTTTTCCTGATTATCTCCCCTTGTTTTAGGGTCCCAACCCTTATTTTAGTATAAATGGTAGCCCTTGGGCCAAGGATACCCTGTGGCAAATTTGGTACTGATTGGCCAAGGGGTTCTTGAGTTATGGCCCATATTCTAAAAAGTTAACGCACACCGCACACCGCACGACGCACACCGCACGACGCACACCGCACAAATGGCCATAGCATTAGCTCTTTGAGCCTTTGGCTCAGAAGAGCTAAAAAGTCCAGATCAACCATGTCAACTGATCCTGTAAATACAAAAGTCCAGATATAAAGGTCTTATCAATGTAGAAAAACCCATATCAATACCAATTTAGATCTTATACCTATTATATTATCATAACAGTAAATTGATCCAAAGGGTCTTATTTCGTTGAGCTGACAGGCGCTGATCATCAGATCAAATGAGACGCGAAGCGTATTTCTTAGTCCCATCGAGAATGAGATAAAGAGGTTTGATTCTACCTTTGAAAGTGGCCCGTCCCAGAGGTGTAACCTCCAAGGTGTGGGAGACTGGGGAGTTTTCTTTCTCTTGTGATAACCTTCTCTTCTGTCGCACTAATCCCATGTCAATCAACTGCTGAAGAGCATCCTTTGTCATGGCAACAACGTCACATGACAACTGAGAAGCCTGGATGGATAGTAACGTGTGAGTCATCATTTCAAAAACCTCCTCTGTTGTCTTGGTGACCTGAAAAAAACAATGTAGATTTCAGTGTTCAAGGATTGGATGAAAAACTGTCAATTATTGAATGCTGAATTCTTGTACAGTAATACTCGGTTATAATGAAGTCACTTGGACCTATCAAATTACTTCTCTAAATCTGTAATTTGTTATATCCGTATAAGGAACTCGAAAAATTTCCATTGTTGGGGATCCAAGATAACTTTCGCTATACCTGTGAATTCACAATATCCATGCTCGTACTCAATAAGGTTTACTGTATCTTGTATTTTTCTATATTACTTTAACTTTGGCTTCTCAAACACCCATATCTTGAATACTAAATTGATATCTAAAAACGAGTGGATTGCAAGTCCAAATAACTATTTTTCAATTGTAATTTTTAAAACTTTAATACCCTTTTTTACTTCCTACTTATAAGTCAAACCAAAACCTCAACAAGGAGAGTCATAAACATTTTTACCAGGCCTTACGACATTTTCTGCAATTATTTTGATAAGACAGCACACTACCTGCAGGCCTATAATATGACTTTTTTTCTGACTGTTTACTCCCCCTACCTGCAGGCCTATGGTGGACAGGATAAGAGACCTGATCCCCTTCCCGTCCTCGTAATTCAGACTGCTGTAACAGTTCTCCAGAGGACCACTGATTATCTCCCACACCTGAAACAGAGGGGTTCATTGGAAAACACCAAACGTAAGCAAATCTACATTCACATGTAGATGTATTTCATACTGTAACTTTAATTTGCATGCAAGTCTAGCAACCATATTCTACTTTTCAGGCATTCTCAAGATCTATTAAATTGTTTATGGAGTATATTTTCTTGCTTGTGAAAATTGATGACTGCATTTTCGATATAAATCTAATCTTATTCTTGACAGCTTGACTTTTTTTCCAGGAAAACTTAACCACCCTATCTTCATGCTGAATGACAATGACGACACTGATGAGGAAACAGATGATGATAGAAATACCGTATAACGGGTTTCCTTGGCAGGTGTAAAATTTGGCATTTTGCCTGCTCAAAAGTACACCAAAAATTTTGGCAAAATTTATTTTAGCGGTTGCAAGGTTTCAGCTGTCTGCAGATGGACGCTTAGAAGAGTATTGACTATTTTAACGATCAAAATTTTAGCAAAATATCATCAAAACGCCAAAATAAGCCAAAATTAGCGCCCTGCAAAAATCACCCGCTATACAGTAATTAGAGATAATTACCTTACACCTGTCTTTGCTACTGACGATAAGAATGCTCTCCCCTGTCGTGTCCTTGCCTGCCCGCCCTGCTCGTCCAATCATCTGTTTGTACTGACTCCTGTTCAGGAACTGTGTACCAATGTAGGGATTGCGCAATATCACTCTGGTAAAAGAAAAACTATTAAATTCAATTTACATGTATTGTTTGAATCAAACAAAATGTTCAGTTCAGATTGGTTTTAAAGTTCTGTATTTTATTCAAATTATGACTTTAAAAAAAGCTAGACTGGTAAAATGATCTTTTTGTATGTAGTCTTGTACAAAGAGTTTCCTATGATTATACTAACATTTGGCCTTCTGAAGATTATACTGACCTTTCTGGTTATTTTACTGACCTTTTGACCCTCTGGATTATTCTGACCTTTGAGCCTTTCTGAAGATTATACTGACTTTTCTAGTTATTATACTGACCTTTTGACCTTTCTGGTTTATAAACTGACCTTTTGATGTTTATACTGACCTTTTGGCTGGCAGATTGACCCCTGCTGCCAGGGTAGAGGTACAGGCCAGGAGACAGAGCACGCCGTCCGAGTACGCCTCCTCCAGTAGATGGCGCTCATCTGTCGTCAGACCGCTGTGGTGGTACGCTATACCAAAATGTATCGTATGCTGCAGTACGGGGCACATCCTCTGTTCTCCATCTTTGTAAAGTTCCTTCAACAAGTCTTTTCTTTCTTGTCTTTTCACTTGACTTAGTTCTCTGTGGTTGAATAAAAAAAGCAGATTTTTGAATTATTTTCTGGTAAGTACAATATTTATCGATCTTTTATAGTCTATAGTGTTATGCTTTAAGTATTAAAAATTTTTCTTTCTCCAAGGTCACTTCTGTTTAAAGGTCACTCTAAATGAATCCTGGAGGTGACTGCATATTGCTTAATACAGGTTTGACTGTAATCACTTGTATTCCTCCCCTCACCTCTTGTACTTGGCCATCAGTTTACTCAGCATCAGGGCCACGTTTTCACAGTTTTTCTTGGTGGAGCAGAAGATGAGACAGGAATGTCCCGGGACGACCTCGGTCACCAGACCCAACAGGTGGTCCGGGTCAAGCTTGTTCATCTCGGGGCTGTACTGAAATCAAATTCCACCAATTATACATGAATTCAATCAACAACAGAAAAAATTAGGAAGACCGTATTATACCAGTAATATCAGGGTCCATCTTCTTCATCTCGGGGCTGTACTGAAATCAAAGTCCAACAATTATACATGAATTCAATCAACAACAAAAAAAATTAGGAAGACCATATTATACCAGTAATATCCGGGTCAAGCTTGTTCATCTCGGGACTGTACTGAAAGTCCAACAATTATACATGAATTCAATCAACAGCAAAAAAATTAGGAAGACCATATTCATGATATTATACCAGTAATATATTTATTTCTAAATTTGTCCACAACTAAAAATTAAAACAAAATCAAGTAGATACTAATGTAAATCATACATCTTTTTGGGGATGGGGATATTTTTTCTTATTAGCAACTTCTTACTTTATCCTGTCAGAAGTCGTATGAAAATCATCATGAAATAGACTTGTACATAAGACCACAAACAGAGATTTAAATACCTTGAATTTCTAATGCACAAACACATTAAAAGACTCATAAGTTTGAATAACATTCAATACAAATACATGTTGAAAATTAATTACATTTTGAAAATATTATGCATTTCAGACTTCAAGGTTATCATGGTTATATCATATTCTGCAATTTTGATCTTAACCTTTCCAAGTTCCAGTACCGAAATGTTCATAAATAATTCAGAAGTTTCACGAAGTTTAATAATTTAAACACTATGTTTCTTAAGTTACGCTCTTTTCTCATGACTGACCTGGAAAGCTACAGTTCTTTGATGACTCAAACTTTCCTGCAGAGTTTGACCTTTCTGCACTTCAAAAATGTTGTCCTCTAGCTTCACATGTTCAGTAAGCTTGACCTAAATATAAAGATTACGACATCTTGACAAAACTAAAATCTTGTAATGCTGCAATGAATAAACTATATGACAAATTTAAACTTCTGTGTAAGAAAATATTGATCTGAATCTGAACACAGGGTAATGTTAGCCTCATTTATTTTATTTTCATCCTACTTCTCTTCATCCCAACGGGGTGAATTACAATAGGTCAATTTAAATAAGACAAAATCTTTTTAAAAATTTAACTAGATATGTGAAAATTTTTAACTAAGCAAATTGTTTGCAAAGTGTGAAAGGGCAGAAAAAATAATCATTCACATGCTATATAAAGATTTCTTACTGGCCGGAAATCACTGGAAAAGACGTCAGCCTTAAGGAAAGTCAGGAGATCTGTTATATTATTCAGTGTAGCACTCATTCCTATAATCTGGGTGGAAGCTGAAAGGAAAAGGAAAAGTTATATAACAATATCAGTATAACTTGATATAAAAACAATTACAAGTAAATAAATTGAGAAGTTTAATAGGAGTGCAGAATCTACGTTGACATATCTACAAGTAATTCACATGTAATCACCCAAAATCTAACTGATACTGCTTGTGTCTTCAGAATTTCTAAGGGCCATTAATGAACAACATAGACACCCTAACTTAACAAGCACTTGCCTTTGGCGTAAATAATTTTCAGGAGTGTGGCCTCTAACCTTGACCCTCGACTTCTACCCTCACCAATCATGTGAAGCTGTAATTAAAACTTAGTCCACTGATGATACTTTTAACATCTATGTTTTAATTATTGTCTCTTTGATGATGCTATGTACAGATGTTACAAAGTGATTGTAAAATAAATCTTTTTTACCAGTAAATTGCCTAAACATGCTAAAAGCTAAATCACTCCCTACAGTTATATTATAAATTTCAATTTTTTTTTATAACAGGGTAAGTCTTGAATTCTTTTCTCCAAAGAACACAAGTATAATTACATGTATTTCAAACCCAAATGGTCTTTGATGATAAATATTTGAGAGAAAAAATTATTTTGAGGTTTGTGGATAATTCACACAAGCCAATAAAAGTTTTGCTGCATATCTTAAAGAGTTTGTTGAGTCAACTTATTTGTCAATAACCTCATCAACAACAACCAGCCCCAGGGAATCCAGTCTCCCCTGCTCTATCAAGCTGTTGACAAGGGAGTGAGCCTTCTCTATGGTAGCAATGTACAGGGACCTTTTCCTGTGTTTGATGGGAGGAAATCTTCCTTTACTGCCGGCGTATTCCTCCACCAGAAAGTCTAACTCCACTGCTAACTGGGCCATTCCTTTCACCTGGGTATATGTAATGTTGATCATTCATACAAAATATACTTTTCATTGATATTAGTTTCTTTTAATTTTTCATTAAAATAAGTAATTAACTGTTGATTTATATCAGGTATATGAAACAAAATTATTCAGTATTAACTTATCAAATTATCTCTTCAAATAACCAGCACCCATCACCCTTTTCTCTTGCTTCATGATTATTTCTAAGAATTCTACAAAAAAATACACGCAAGATACAGTAAATATTAAATATAATCCACCTTTTCCTGAACAATGGAAACAAATGGGAGAATCATCATGGCGTCTTTCTTTTTACACAACAGTTCCTTCAGAATCAGCACCTCTGCCACCAGAGTCTTGCCTCCGCTAGTCGGTAAAGAATAAACCAGGTTACCTCCCTTTTGTAGTGTGGGTAGTCTCAAGCACTCGTCCTGCCACTCTAAAATATATACATGCATTACTTTCAATACCAGATAAGGTATATACAGTCTGAATTTTCATGCAGTTTTTTTCTTTATTTTTACCATGCTAGAAAATAAAAAAAATTTTAAGCGAATACTAATTAATCATTTAATGCATACCACCAGAAGAAAGGGTCATTTGTAAAAATTATTTTCAGCAAAATCAAAGCTTCAAACAGTAATAGCACAGACTTGGAAATTCAAATCTGACAGTACCATACAATGATGTAATTCCTCTCTGTTTCTGTAACAGCTGCTGGACTTTTGAAGGCAAACCGTAGAATGGACCGATGTCATCGGCCGATCCCTCCCCTTGTATAATGGCCGCCTCCCGCTCTACCTCTTTTAACCGGCTCTGTCTTCCTTGCTCAACTGTCTGTGCAGGACTAACAGGGGATTTTGTCCCAACATTCTGTAGTAATTTCTTTTTCAATCGGTCCCTTAATGATCCCACACTACTGACAGAACTTAAAACCTCACTTTTGAGCTGATCTGTAGTTTTCAGTTCCATATCATTTTTGAGCTGATCTGTAGTTTTCAGTTCTATATCCTTGACCTCTTTGTCAGTATTTTTATTGCACACAGAGACTTGGACATTTGAGTTTCTATCACAGACACTTTTTTGCACTGTACTCCGGGTTTTACCTATTGAATCACTATCAACATTTTGTATATTACCCCTGTTTTCACACCCAAAAACTTTCTTTTCATGAAACCTACTTTTAGGTGACAGAATTAATTGATCTTTTTCAACTAGTTTACTCAAAACACTTTCACACTTTGATCGTTCTTCTGACACACTGTCAACAAAATCAACTGAGTTCTGACTCTCAATGGATTCCACATGGCTCAGAAAATCTTGGTCTTGAAAACTCTCTTCAAAGAAGTCCTTCTCAGAGTTGTTATCAGAATTATCCTGTTCTGATGGCTTCCCTGGCGGTGTTTGTTTCTTGTCTCCCACATCCCCAGTAGTTTCTTTTAATGGAGCATCCACTTCTTGCTGAATTTTGTTCTCCTTGAAAACAAACAAAGAGTATAATTGTACTGTAAGCTCACATTTCAGATCATTTTTGTTTCATTTAAATGTGAAACAAACATAACTGTTACAAGAATAAAATGTAATATCATATTATTACTGTAAAACACTTTTTATTCGTGAGAACTTTATTTTCGCATAATAACGCGAGACAGTGTTTTCGTGAAAATTTAATTCTCGCGTATAAAAGTATTCCTTATGATTATATAAA